TCAATGGCTCTAAGGAACCCTGGTGGTGCAGTGGTTAAAGCACTCGGCTGCTAACCTAAAGGTCTGTGGTTCAAACCCACCAGCGGCTCCAAGGGAGAAACATGTCTGCTTCAGTAAACATTTACAGCCTTGAAACCCTATGGGGCAGTTCTACTCTGTCCTACAGGTTTGCTATGAGTTGGAATTGACTCAACAGCAGTGGGTCAACTGGTTTGGTTTGGTTTAAGGTCGTCCTTGTTTCTAGTCCCATTCATCTTCGATCCTTTTCTCCTAGTATCCCACCCTTTGGCTCAAATGAGCCCCAACTGTCGACAGAACAAAAATACATTTTATAATGCATCTTTTAAAGTTCTTTTTTTTTTTTTTAAAGCAAACTCTTCTGTTTTGCTACCTGTCCCCACCATCCAGTGTATGGAGCATTGTCTCTAGCCAAATTTATCTACAAACCAGTTTCTGAGCAGGAGCTGCACTCGTTTCTGTATTTTTTTCTCATGTTATTCTAACAGCAGAGCCTTTGCTCCATGCTATTCATCAGACCCACATCATCCGGTATGAACCATGAAGCTTTTCCTGACCATCCTAGCTGAAAGTTATAGACACCATATAATTTAGAAGCTGTCACGGATTGAACTGTGCCCCCCCAAAATATCTGTCAACTTGGCTAGGTCATGATTCCCAGTATTATATGATTGTCTACCATTTTGTCATCTGATGTGATTTCCCTATGTGTTGTAAATCTTATCACTGCGATGCTAATGAGATGGATTAGCAGCAGTTATATTGATGAGATCTACAAGATTAGATACTGTCTTAAGCCAATCTCTTTTGAGATATAAAAGAAGGGAGTAGAGAGACATGGGGATCTCATCCCACCAAGAAAGCAGCCCCGGGAGCAGTGTGTGTCCTTTGGACCCAGGGTTCCTACGCGGAGAAGCTCCTAGTCCAAGGGAAGATTGACGACAAGGACCTTCCTCCAGAGCTGACAGAGAAAGCCTTCCCCTGGAGCTGATGCCTTGAATTTGGACTTCTTGCCTACTAGACTGTGACAGAATAAACTTTTGTGTTAAAGCCATCCACTTGTGGTATTTCTGTTATAGCAGCACTAGATGACTAAGACAGAGCAGGAAGCCAGTTGCTGTTGAGCCAGTTCCGACTCATAATGACCCCATGTGTGTCCGAGTACAGTGGTGTTCCACAGGGTTTCAGTGGCTGATTCTTTGGAAATAGAATGTGAGGCCTTTCTTCTGAGGCACCTCTGGGGAGACTCCAACCTCCAACCTTTCGGTTAACAGCCGAGTGTTTTAACTCTTTATACCACTCAGGGACTCCTAGAGTGGGAAGTGCCCTAATAATTCCTATCCCAGTGATTCTCAACCAGAGTCTACCATATTTCTCCTGAGACACAGTAACTCTCAAGGTGGGACTTCATAACATCTACAAGAATTCATTCTTCTTCAGTTCCCTTGTGTGCCGAAAAGTATGCCAGGCTTTATCCTTCTGACTCTAAGTACAGATTTTGGATTCTGCTTTCCCTCCTCCACTACCCTTAAGTAACTCTATTTTAAAGATTTTAACTAAATTTTATAAGTTTTCCTTATGTTTTATAATTATTGCAGTTTATCCTACCTTTAAACTATAAATGAAGACAGTCTAGAGTGTCCAATATGGTAGCCAGTATCCATATATGGCTATTTGAAGTGAAATTTCATTAAAGAAAATTAAAACTCCAGTTCCTCAGATGTACTAACCACATTTCAAAGCCTTCACAGTCATCTGTGACTAGTGGCTACTACACTTGACAGTGCAGATACCGAAAATTTTTTAAATCGCAAAAAGTTCTACTAGACAGTGACTGACATGTAGAATGTCCCCAGGCCTCCCACGTTAAGCATGGGATTAAATGAAGCAGTTTTTGAACCATGTACTGTTTCTTAGTCCTCAAGAATCCTCATGGAGCCTGTAACTATGAGCCAAGGAGTAACAAAACCTGAGTTTTGACAGCCACAGACTCTTAAAATGATCATTGGAGGGAGGCCTCTCTTCCTTCCCCTAAACCATAAAAATTATATTCACAACCTGTGAACCTTGTTCCAAACTATCAACAGTCATGTGGATGGATATAGAACAAACAAGTCCTGACACCTCTGCTCTTCCCCCGCAAAAGGTCTAATTGTCCATTTGAGACCAGCTCTATCCTCTCTAATATAAACAAACCCTTGATGAAGTAGGACCAATTTTGGATTAACATGGGAAATTCGGTACCCACTGTGAGAACCCCTTGGGATCTTGAACGTATCTAGATAGATAAAAATATGAATGCTGAAACCTATGCAGACAAAACAAAGGAAATTTAACAACCCCTCTTAGCCCCACAGAGTGAGGCTCCCTCTGGAAGGCAGATTTAGGATAAAGGATTCAGAGGACAGGCCTGCCTTCCATCAGCACCCGCCTAGAGGACTTATCCTAGTGCATGAGTCAACTCTAACACTACAAGATCTAATGTCTTCTGCAGCTTGTTTGATGGATCCTGGAATTAAGTCATAACCCCTACCACAGGATCCACTGAGTCAGCTTAATGGCTGTACTCCTTTAACCCTGAGTGTCCTGTGTTGTTAAACAATGTCCAAGTGACCAAGTGATCGTAGAGTTCCATTCCTGTAGTCACTGTTGTCTTACATTATCTCCAGGCTCTCTTTGCCCCTGCAATGGACTCACCTGCAATATTTGATTTTCCTTCTTATTTCTCACAGCTTGTTCTACTTTCAACTACAGTTCACTCCTTTATGCTTGTAAATCCACCCAAATCCCCTACCCCAGTGCTTTAATCATGAGTGAATCCTGCTCCTTATGGACCATATACATATAACTCATTGCCCATTGCTGTCAAATCGATTGCAATTCATAGCGACACTACAGGACAGAGTAGAACTGCCCCATAGGGTTTCCAAGGCTGTAAATCTTTCTGGAAGCAGACTGCAACATCTTTCTCCTTTGGAGTAGATGGTGGGCTCAAATCATCCATCTTTTGGTTAGCAGCCAAGCGCTTAACCGCTGGGCCACCAGGGCTCCTTATGGATTATATGTACTTTTTTTTTTCCCTGCATACTTGGATTACTCCAAATTTATTGCCTCTAGAGTTAGGATTGGAGTCCCTGTGTGATGCAAACGGTTAACACGCTCAGCTGCTAACCAAAAGGTTGGAGGTTCAAGTCTCCACCTCGAGGCGACTTGGAAGAAAGGCTTGGCAATCTAATTCTGAAAAATTGTCATTGAAAAACCTGTGGAGCAATTATATTCTGACACACATGGGGTCGCCATGAGTCAGAGTCGACTTGATGGCAACTGGTAAAAAGAATTAGAATTAGGATAGCCTCTCTGACTCTGTATTTGGACTGTGCTCTACAGAGCCAGGATCTGCTGCAAGTTCAGCTACCATTTCCCTGTTCAGTTGGTCCTGGGTCATTCCAGGATCCCTAAAACCACTTCCTGCCATTTTGGCCCTGTTATGGATTGAATTGTGTCCCCCCCAAATATGTGTTTTAAATCCTAACTCCTATACCTGTGGTTATAATCCCATTTGGGAATGGGTTTTCTTTGTCATGTTACTGAGGCAGTATTAATGTAGACTGTGTCTTAAATCAATCTCTCTTGAGATATAAAAGAGTAGATTAAGCAAACAGAGATGGGGAAGACAGATGTCATGCCAGATGAAGGTCACCAAGGAACTGAGGAACAGAAGCTGAAAAAGAGCCAAAAACCTTCCCCCCAGAGTGGACAGAGAGTCAGAGAGCCTTCTCTTAGAGCCAGCACCCTAAATTTGGACTTCTAGCCTACTAAACTTCGAGGAAATAAATTTCTGTTCATTAAAGCCACCCACTTGTGGTATTTCTGTTATAGCAGCACTAGATAACTAAGACAGGCCCAATGGTCAAATGGCCTGTAATGCTTCATGCCCCGTGTCAGCCCAAATTATACTAATTGCTTTTACTGATATAAATTCTACTGTTCTTTCAAAGTCCATTTTAAGGCTTCTTTTATTTTGCAAAACCTTCCTTGACTGCATATAACCTTTGTGGATTTCCTGTTCATCTGATCTGTTATAAAATTTGCATTCAGTTCCATACATTCATTATGTATGTTAATTATTCCTCCCAACTTCTTGAAGGTAGGGGTACATTTATTCATTCATTTATTCACTCAGTCATTCGATTTTCATACAAATAAGTAAATGTCACTGTCTTAGATGATGATGTAACAGATAAATAAGCTTCTAGTCCAAGTCTTGACAAGTCAATAATTCATAGGGGAGCACAAAGTAAGAACTCAAAATATACCTGTTTACTGAATAACTGATTAATAATTATGGGAGGAAGAAAATTCTTTAATTGTTTATAAGTATGATATAATAAAAGGTCACAATTTGGTTCTAGATGGAAAAAAGGTAGAATTTAAAATTGTATTTTCAAAACCAGAAAAAGTAAATTAAGCTTTAGGGTTATTCCACATATAAGGATCAGCCAAGTTTTGGGCTGGGACTTAGAATGAAAGAGAAGCAGACAAAGGCATAAAGAAGAATGGCTTTGTTACATGAAAAAATGAAGTCGAATGAGCAGAGGAGGACAAAGAAGGTAGCAGGCAAAATGAAAATGACTGTAAAAAGAAGACATCTTATTGGTGCATAAATGTAGATATCCAGAAAAACAATTCCATTCGCTTTCTGAGGAGGAGTTAAGTGATATAACTGTAGGTAGAGATCATCACTTAATTTTACGGATTAGGGTCAACCAGAAGTTGTAGGGACTACAGGGACAGGGTCTTATAGAAAAATAATATTCCAGCTGACAACCAACAATGATGAGTCAGAGTTCTTTTAAAGAAAAATACAAAGGGCACTCTAAGAAAGTTTTGATATACTCTCCTATTTTTCTAGTCCCCTTACTTTTAAAGCATCTAAGGAAAAAAAGGTATTTTAGAAATTGGGAATTCTTTAATTTTTTTACCTTTTTGTAGATCAGTCCAATTACAGCTGTCTTAATTTTTGCTGAGGTGAGCAAGTTAAAACGTTGATATTGCTGAAGTATCAGGGTTTGCAAAAAGACTACAAGAAGAAGTGCCACTGCATAACCATAGCCACTCCAGTCAAAATCAGAGTGGTGTTCACAGAAAATGATCATCTGCCTGATTGTCATATAAAACAATGAGAAAGGGGAAGAAATATTAAACATCAAACGCAGTTAAATGCTTATGAGTTACGTGTCAAAGTGTGTATACACACACACACACACACACTCACACACACACACACACACACACACACATACATACACAACCCTAGCTGTTCATTTTCTCGACTTGCCTAATTGGCATCCTTCCCTTTTTTTCACTCAAGCATTAGATCATAAAGTGAATAAAACCAATAATCATGTTCACAGGCTTGCAGGTAAGAGGTTATTTTCTAGCTTTCATATGGCAATCTCATCAAATAATTTACTCTGTTCTGGTCTAACTTCATCAGAAAAGTTGAAATCAAAGACACTTAAAAAATATTTTATTTTCAAAATCATGCATTTTGTCAAATATAGGGAAACATGTCAATCAGAACTTAAGTAGGAGACCTTAGGATGGCACACAAATATAGTGCTTTTAAAGGCTGAAATTATACCTCACTTTTTATTGCTACTTTTATCCATATCTGCTATCTCTCTCCACATTCTTTCCTTATTTCCTCTTAAGTTTGGTGATGGCATGGTCATGATGATCAGGGTCAAGGCTGGAGTACAGGAAGACAATGAGGATGGTTATAATCATAACCACCTTGACTTCTGCTTGTCCCTCAACTATAAGCACTGGCTAAAATTCAGACTTCCTGGCATCCATTGTCAATAACATTACATCTTGGACATTCCAACCTCAGCACACGTGGAAAAGAGCCAAGGAAACTCAGCCACAATCAAGGCCTCAGACGTACGGCTCCATTTGAGCTGCTGCACCCATCTCTAGCTGTTCAAGTCACCAGCTGAGGCCGCTGTCACTGTGAGGCAGAGAAATAACATTCTCTGTGTCCTGCCTCAAGTTCTGACCCACAGAATCGTAAGCATGATAAAATGGCTGTTTTATGCCACTAAATTTTGAGGTGGTTTATTTTACTGCCATAGATACCCAGAACAGTGCAAACAGTTTAACAACAGTTTGTACGGTGAGCCACTCTTATCAGTTAGGGTGATGGGAACTCTCCTGAAATCCAGATACCAGCCAAGAGCCAATCTCGTAAGCAGACCTTTCAGAGGATATCAGTCAACTTGGTAAGGTAACTCTTTCCTACACAATGGATAATAGATACTTCAAATTTGTCACCGTTGTTGTTATATGCCATTGAGTCAGCCAACTCATAGCAACCCTAAAGGACAGAGTACTACTGCCCCATAGGGTTTCAAGGAGGGGCTGGTGGATTCGAACTGCAGACCTCTTGGTTAGCAGTCAAGCTCTCAATTACTACACTACCAGGTCTCCTTTCAAATTTAGCAAGTCCAAAAGCAAACCCCACTTCCTATTCTACCCTTTCTAGCCCTTCTCTATCTCAGTAAATGGTAATCTTGTTAAACCAAACCAGTTGTCTTTGAGTCTATTCCTTATCACTGAAGCAAAAAACTCTGAAGGCACCCTTGACTACTCTCTTCCTTTCTCAATCTACATTCAATCCATCAGTATACTCTGTTAACTCTACCTTGAAAATAGCCCAGAAGCTAACTACTTTTTATCACCTTCATCACTACCCACTAGTTGAAGCCACCACTGACTTTTGCCTGGATTATCATAATAGTCTTCTAAATGGTGATTCTTCTTCCACTCTTATTCCTCTTTATTCTCTATACAGTAGCCACAGTGATCCTTACAAATCTTAAGTCCAATCATAAAATTCTCTGCTCAAAATTCTAAGGTTTCCCTTCTGGCCCAGAATAAAAGCCAATGTTCTCATCATATTCTATAAGGTCTTCAAGATCTTTGTCACCTCCTCAGTCTTATCATTGACCTCAATCTTATCACTCTCCTTCTCAGTCTCTGTACTCCAGCTTCAACTTGCCTCCTTATGAGTCCTCAAAAATACCAAGCACATTCCTGATTCATGGCCTTTGCCATTCCTGGCTCCTGTAATTGCAAGGTATCATTGTGGCTTCCTCTCTAACTTCCTTCAGGACTTTGCTCAAATGTCACCTTACCACTGATGTCTTCCCTAAACACCTTACATAAAGAGCAATGCCCCATGCTTCACACTGCCATTCCCTATCCTCTTACCTTGCTTTTTTTTTTTTACCCTAGTACTTATTATCTCTTAATATGGTCTATACTTACTCATTTGTTTACTGAAATTACTTCATCTCTCTCTGTTTCTACACTGTAATAATGAGCTTAACAATACTTCCTACTTTATAGGATTGTTGTAAAGATTAAATAAGATAATGAATATAAAGATATTCATTATATTCATTCAAAGATATAAAGATTTTAGAACAGTGCTTAGAACATAGTTGGCTTCAGTAAATACTGACTACATTTATCATCATTTGCATTTATATCACAGGTAAACTTGATAAAATGTCCATATCCTAAATAAAAATCACCTACTCTTTTTTAGTAGAAATTTTATAGTGGAACATTTGCTTCTCATTTACCTATGGGGAGAAAAACAAAAAATACAAGACTTCAGCTTACTTCATTATGAGTGGACTAGTGAAGGACAAAATATCAGCAAATACTTTGAATAAAGCAACTTGAATCAGGACAAACTTAAAGTTGTTCCATAATGCCGAGAGTAGTGATGGTTTCCTGGTGTGTGCCTCTTTCCAAGAGGAAGCCTATATGATAAAGAAAAGAAAAACAGTGAGAAAAGTGCACAGAAATAAGATGAGTAAAAATGAAAGAACTTATACATAAACTAACCATAAAATTAGTAATGTACTCCATAATACAAGGTAACAACAAAGGAATAAATTCATTTAAACTTGAAAATATACCCTTATCGGTGTGGTATATCTCGAGGCTACTTAGTGTTATTGATACCACATGGCATAAACAGAGCAAGAGACATAGCTGTATTTTATCACTTTTATAAGTTTTGAAACTGTTTCGTTATTATAAAAACGAGATGAAATACAGTTTATATTTTGAAATTATATTTTCCTTTTGGGACATCTAAAGGGTAGACAGATAGATATAGATATAGATGCAATATATAACATGAAAGGGAAGCTGGATAACTCAACTTCAGAAATTAGCTGCATTAACAACCAATTGTGCTTACAAAAATGGCTTGTTATTTCACATATTTTAGGGATTTTCTATATTAATAACATCTCATATTTGGAAAAGCTTTATCTAACATTAGGTAGTAATTAACTACTTGGGTTTTAATAATCAATTCCTTTACCTTTTGCCTCTCTTGATTCCTTAAAACTTCCTTCCTCCATTGTTTTTCAAAAATGGGACACACAATGTAGGAGGAATCACTTTCATTTAGTCCACAAAGATCCTCCGTTTCCAAAGGTTTATTATAGCCTAAGATAATTACTCTAAAAATAAAAGAGTAAGGTAAACAATTTAGCAAAACCAATAATCCAATTACAAAGAAATTTTGCGTGCATTTATTTCATTCCTTGATTTATAAATTATTTGATCAGGATACAACGACTAGATTCTGAGTTTGAAATATTATCCAACTTTACTCTGGAGTTCAATAATGTCCAATAATCATTTGCAGTTCTTAGAAGGGCTATTCAGACATCCAATCATTTATTGAAACATTAACTTCATTTAGTCACATCATATTTGGGGTATGTACTACCCACCTTCCCTATCTCCCTCACTGAAATTTAAATAGCTAACTTTCACAGTAAGGTATTCACCAGCCGCCTAAGAACACATGTTTGCTTTTAGGCTAGTATCAAAAGAGAAATGATCCACATTCTACATCTGCAACTTTCCCCAGTTTCATGAGACTTATATATCCTTTGCCACTTGACTTTATAGATTGTCCACTGAATGTGGAATACTTGTCCTTGCCCCATAAACTCTGGCCTTGGCCATATGACTTACAGTGATCAATAGAATGTTAGCCAATGTAACAGTGCCTTTTCCAAGCTGATGACTTAAGCAGTGGGGCAAGTTTCTGCTAGCTCTCAGAGCTTCCACTTTCCTCCATTCAAAGAGCTTGCCCCAAGGGACACTATGAATGCAAGAGAAACGGGTCTAAACTGGGACTGTGCAGGCAAACAAAGAGGTATGATCATCCATATTCATCCAGATAAATTAATGTAACAAATAACGGATTGTGCTTACCCCACAGTCATCCCTCTGCCTCACCCCTTCCTGCTAACAGAAATCTGATTTATTCAATTGAAAATCTCCTGCACGCAGGTAAGCCCTTACCCTAGCCAGAGTTATGAATTTTGATTGATCTAAACCAGTCCTGGTAATCACATTTCCCTTTCCTTGGAATTAATAATATAACTAAGTTCTGGCTAATGGTACCTAAACATATATCTGCTAAGGAGAATACTCCTTTACAAATGAAGGTATACAACTCCAAGAAGAGAAAACATTTTGCCTCCCTTCTCCTTCCCCTTCCTCCTTGCTGTCAACTGAGGACATGATACCTCAAGATATGGAAGTCATCTTTGCCTCAGTGGGTGAGGAGCCAAATAATAAGGATGGGGAACTGGAAGACAGAAAAAGCCTGGGTCCTTCATCACATTTTTGAGGCAGTTCACCAACCTATTTCCAGTCTTCTTCCCAATACATAAGAAAATAAATGCATATTTATTCACGCTATTATTTGGCTATTCTGTTACATGAAGCCAAACACAATACTAAGTGACACAGTTCAGATATACTCGTTTATGAGCTTGGTTACATGACTTGTTCAGTAGGAAATTAAATCCATATTTAAACCCAGGTCTACCGACTCTAGAACCTCAGTTCTTACAACTACCAAGTGTATTAGTCCAAGAGACCAAATCATAGCATTACACTGCTCCATATTGGAACTGCTTTAATTGCCATTAGGAGCGCTGGTGGTGCAGTGGTTAAGTGCTTGGCTGCTATTCAAAGGGTCAGCAGTTCAAATCCGCCATTCATTCGCTCCTTGGTAGAAAGATATGCCAATCCGTTTCTGTAAAGAGTCATAACCGACTCAATGGCAATGGGTTTGGTTTTTTCCCGGTCATTGCCATTGGTCCTCAATAATCTCAACTGGCTGACTCTGGAATAGATTTAAGCCCTGTGATAACCAGTCTCCACTGGATTCAATTTACTTTTATTATATCATACCATACCTCAATTCATATTGAACAAAAAGGCTTAAATGTACTAAGGATGGAACTTCAGTAATCACATTTCTGTTGGCTCCATCATGCTGCACATCTTCCTACAGTGCACTTTTAAAAACATATTAAGTAATAATCTCCTTTCATGTCATATTAAATCTCTCCAATCCATTCCATAAAATAAATATTCATTTCCAAAATAAGATTGCATTGATTTTCACAAAAGCATTTTTAATAACATTGACCACCTCAGCATTTCAAGTTAGAACTGTGCAAAACTCGGGGGTTTTGGTTCACGGAGAGAAGTGACCCCTGGCTTTCATGCTGAGTCTCCAAATAATGCCGCGTCTGAAAGTGACACTTAAGCTGAATTGATTGTGATTCACATGGCTTCAGTATTCAACTACTGTGATTTCTCTTTTCCCAGGTGTGTGCTCCCTCCTCATCTTTTCTCTCTCCGGCCAATATAAATTCCCCATCACACTGACTGGTCTTAGACCATTTTACATAAGAGTCTGGAAAAAGAGAAAGTGGTGCCTCTTTAAACAAAATGTTGAGAAATCTTTTGAGGGAAGCAACTTGGAGCAATTGTTCACCCTCCCGGTGAGTGAAGTGTAGCATGCAATGCACCAGGTCCCATAAACTTCTGGACTTTCTTCCTAAAGCAATATATCTTGTATTTTTCAAATGATATTTCTTTTCAAAAGACATTCACTTATATTAAATTGATCCTCACAATTCTCTAGGGCAGGTAGAAAAACTAAAACCAAACCCATTGTCGTCGAGTTGATTCCAACTCATAGCAACCCTACAGGACAGAGTAGAACTGCCCCATAAGGTTTCCAAGGAGCGGCTGGTGGATCTGAACTGCAGATCTTTTGGTTAGCAGCAAGAGCTCTTAACTACTGCACCACCAGGGCTCCAAGGCAGGTAGAGCAGGTGTCAATTTCCCATTTTTGTTTGTTGTTAGTTGCCATCAAGTCGGCTGTGACTTATAGTGACCTTATGAACGAAAGAACAAAACAGTGCCTGGTCCGCAGACATCTTCATGATCATTGGTATGTTTGAGTCCATTGCTCTGGATATTGTGGGTCCCGTTTTTATAGGTGGTTAAATGCCAGTCACTCCAGAAACTGGTCTTTTTTTTTTTTTTTTATTGTACTTCACATGAAGGTTTACAGAACAAATAGTTTCTCACTAAACAGTAGTACACATATTGTTTTATGACATTGGTTAACAACCCCACGACATGTCAACCCTCTCCCTTCTCGACCTTTTTTTTTTTGGTGAAAATATACATAGCCAAAGATAAACCATTTCAAAAATTTCTACATGCACAGTTCAGTGACATCAATTACTCTCTTCCAGTTGTGCTGCTATTCTCTCTTTAGATGAAGGTTTACAGAACAAAATAGTTTCTCATTGAACAGTTAGTACACGTTGCCCTATGACAATGGTTAACAACCCCACTACATGTCAACACTGTCCATAGTCAACCTTGGGTTCCCTATCACCAGCTTTTCTGTCCCCTTCTGCCTTCTAGTCCTTGTCCCTGGACTGCTGTGCCTCATTAGTCCCGTTTTGTTTTATGGGGCTGTCCAATCCCTGGCTGAACGATGAACCTCGGAAGTGACTTCACCACTGAGCTAAAAGGGTGTCTGCGGGCCATACTCTCGGGGTTTCTCCAGTCTCTTTTAGGCCAGTAAATCTGGTCTTTTTTGTGTGTGTTATAATTTTGTTCTACATCCTTCTCCAGCTCTGTCCAGAACCCTCTGTTGTGATCATGGTCAGAGCAGTCAGTGGTGGTAGCTGGTCACATTTTTAAAATGTGACATAAACCAGTAGTAACTTAACTAAAGGCCTTTAAATCAAATACTTCTACTCTGTTTTTAATTTTGTTATCTTAGAGAGAAATTCGGGTATATTTAACAGTAGTAAGAATACATAAATATATCATCCAACTGAAGTGGTGAGAGTAGCAAAAAAGTGGCAGTTGGCTAGGAGGACAAGCTGCTGGCCCTTGAAAAGGCAATACAAATATTATGGATCAAATGTAAATTTTGTAGATAAGAAATTCTTGAACACTTGGCAACTATGGATATATACCAGCATTGTCAATTTTGTTATTATTAATCACCTTTGTAAACATTTCCAGAAGGGAGTGATTATGATATCGGAAAATGAATGAAGTCTGTCTACCCCAAAATCACAGGATGGGACACATTCGGTTAAAATTAAATTAAACCACAACTACCACAGCCTCCACCAGACTGAGTCCAGTACAACTAGATGGTGCCCGGCTACCACCACCGACTACTCTGACAGGAATCACAACAGAGGGTCTTGGACAGAGCTGGAGAAAAATGTAGAACAAAATTCTAACTCACAACAAATGACCAGACTTGCTGGCCTGACAGAGACGGGAGAAACTCCAAAAGTATGGCCCCTGGACACCCTTTTAGCTCAGTAGTGAAGTCACTCCCGAGGTTCACCGTTCAGCCAAAGATTAGACAGCCCCATAAAACAAAATGAGACTAATGGGGCACAACAGCCCAGGGACAGGGACTAGAATGTAGGAGGTGACAGGACAGCTGGTAGTAGGGAACCCAGGGTCGAGAAGGGAGAGTGTTGACATATTGTGGGGTTGTTGACCAATGTCATAAAACAATGTGTGCACAAGCTGTTTGATGAGAAACTACCTGTTCTGTAAACCTTCATCTGAAGTACAATAAAAAAATAAAAATAAATAAAATTAAAAAATTAAGTTAAGTTTTATGAATGTATGAGGAAAAGGTAGGACCTATTAAAAAATGTATCCCTGGTTAAGATAATGACTCAACTGTGACCTATAAAAGAATTTACCTAGATTTTTTCATGTACGCCACAGGGATTATTCTATGACCATGATTATTGTACACTGATGAGTGATTATATACACTAATAAAGGCTGGATAATTATTTGATAATCATAAAGATCTAGACAGTTATTGCCTTAGAAATTAAGGTTCGTACGAGTTTATTTTCCTAATTATCTGTACCATATGAGCACACTGTAGTTGAATTATTTATATGAATATGGACACTTGAATTAGGCCTCAGAAATAATTTCTGACTTTATTCTGAAGCTGGAAGAACAGATCTGAGGGCACAATTATCCACTGTCTTCAAAAGGACATCTCTTAAACAATAGTTGTTTCAACTGCAGTTGTTCAATCACCAGAAAAGCAATAACAGTTCCAGGTAACAGCATACTATGAAAATATTTTCTATCTACTTCTAAGACATTAAATTTAAAAACAAAATAAATGTGGTATTTAGCAATTATGATTTGTGGGTTTGTTTGTTTGCTGTAAGATATGGATTTTAAGATACTGAGTTCCCATATGTTTAAATTTGTTATGCCTTATGCGGTGCTATGGTTAAGAGCTTAGCTGCTAATCAAAAGGTCGGCAATTCAAATCTATCAGCCGCACTTGGAAACCCTATAGGGCAAGTTCCACCCTGTCCTATAGGATCTCTATGACTCGACGGCAACGTGTTTGGTTCGGTTTTACCTCGCTTATTAAATTTAATTTCTGCTTCTAACTTGAAGCCTCCTAGCATGGTGTTTACAATATCTAACATATGTGTATATACTTCTATAGTTTATTACCATAGATTTAAATGACATTTATTTAAAATTAATTTTATTTGCATCATTTAAATTCTATGATATCCAGAGCCTTAAAAATGATATTCCGAATTTTTTTTTAAAACCAGAGTTGACATCACTTTCTCTCAACTAGTGGGTGAAATGGAATCGAGCTATGGAAAATCAAATACAAATATACATATAAGTATTTTTTTAATCAAAATTACTATTTGTAAATAGCCCACATTTACATGATTTCTATCGAACCATCTCTTTTTCGTAGTAACAATGTTGCATATTGATATAAAACTTTTGTCATCTTCAAGTGAATTCCTATATTTTTACAATTTAATAACACTCCCCAAGTATATAAGCTCTCTACCTAAACTGCATTCATAAAAATCACCAATGACCCTCAAAGTGGCCAACTTTAACGGAAAACAATCAGTTCTTATCTTAATTCACCCCTTTTCAGTATTTGGTTCTACTGACCACTTTGTCTCCCTTCTTGAATGCTTCTCTTTCCCTGGGTTTCAACCTTTTCTTTCCTTGTTTTCCTCTTACATTCTTAATGCCTGTTCTTCGCTTCCTTTGTAGATTCCTCCTCCCCTTGTTCTTTAAAAACCGGGTATTCCCAATGTTTCATTTGTTCACCCTACTCAGTGTGCCCTCTTTCTGGGTGATGTCAATTTACACTTATCGCTTCAACTGATGACCTATATTCAATAACTCCTAAATCCACAGGCTAAAGGCCAAAGGTTTATCCTAAGCCTGAGAGCCACATATCCAAACATCTGTTAGATATCATTCATCTGGATGCTTCACAGGCATTGAAAATTCAATCTGCACCAAACTGAACCCATAATCTGACACCAGACTTGAACCCCACAGTTACTGGAGCTAGAAACTGAGTTATCCTAGACTTTTTCCCATTTCATCAATATTCTTATCCAATCAACTCTACCTCCTAAGTACTTCTTCAATCTGTTCTTTCCTCTTCATCTCTTTTACCATTTGCATTGTTCAGACTATGACCATCTCTTCCAGGTTACAGGAAGAGCATCCTAACCATTCTGCCAGCCTCTATTTTCACCTCTTACATACCAAAGCCCCACAACTGCAAAAGTAATTTTCTAAAATGTAAATATTAAAAATTCTATTTAAAATTCTCTATTTAAAAATTTCAGTGGCTTCTCATTGCCTTCAGGATGTCATAGAGAACTCTTCAAGATCTCTCCCTTGGGCTAAATCTCCAGCATTTCCAACACTCCACAATGTGTGAAGAGATCATTTTTCTTCCTTTCCTCTGGCTTGCATGTGACAGTGACTCAGCTTGGAAGGCCACCTGACTCAATCCTTGCATCTTTAAATGTTCCGCAAATTACTTGTGAAATATTCCCTAATTGTGAAAACTTGAGTATATGACACTTTTGAAAATCTGTGTTTAAATCTCTATTGTACTAATGTCATCTACCATTTTTGGTAATTAATAGTCTACTTTTTAGTCTTCCTAATTCTCCTATGAATTTCTGGAAGGCATAGACTTGATCCTTTATCTCTGCATTTTTAAGTTATCTTAGTGCAGGACATCTAGTACACAATCAACCTTTTTTTTTTTAATGGTTTCATCTACACTTGAAAACAGGTGTACATTAAACTGAGCAACTTAGTTTCTACCAAGTACAGAGTAAGAGGCATAAACTGAAGAAGATAAATTTACTTTCATTTTATCAAAAATGTTCTATTATGGGGAAAAAAAGAAATACGTTTTTAAAGAAAGCTTCTGAATTTATAAAACTAGGAAACATCAACTCTTCTTGTTTAACATGATTTAATTCCTTTGTTAAAGCTGGAGGTTACCCTGGATGTTCCCTAATGTATCTCTGAGACCTCATCATATATTATGGATGAATTATTCTTCTGAGGGATAACGCAGAATATATATTTTATAAAAATTGTTAATTGTGCTATTAGTATTCTACTTCTGTTTCCTTCCCCCTCTCCCCTTGCAGAATATACAGGTATATATGAGAATATACCTAATAAAAGGTAGAACTACAGTGAAAAAAGCAGGCTTCTAACACCAACTCAGTGTGTTCCTACGTGGGTATCAATGAACAAGTTACTTCCTCTCCCCAAGCCTCAATTTTCTTACCTGTAAATGCAGATATTACTGCCTATTTCAGAGGGCTTCGGTGAGAATTAAACCAGGTAACATATATACAAAGTGGGTAACACATACTTGATGCTCAAAAAAGTGTTCATTTTTCTGCAATTCTGTAGAGCTTCTGGGAGTAAAATCCCAAAAAGGGGCAGCCATGGTAAAGGGGTACTAATCATCTCCTATCTGTGGGACTGTTTATCATGTATTAACTGCGATTTCTCTGTAATAAACAATATAAGAAAAAAATTCTGACAGAGTCACTTGGTAAAAACATCCATACTTAGATTAAATAATGACACTTAGGTGTTGCTTGCCTTGTAATCCTCCTTAGCTTGGTGTGCTACGAACAAATTTATAAAACTCCTACCTGCTAAACCAGGAATATGTCACCTTACTGAAGAATGAAGCACTCTTCTCCGGATTGCATTTCTAAAAAGAAAAATATAACAATCAGTTTATGATGGAAATGCCTTTAGTTTACATTTGAACTATTTCTGTCAATCAGCTGGAAAGCAGACATGAAACAATTTATTCTACTAACAATTACAATTATGTTGACATCATAATCCTTAAGGAATACAGTCAAGTAGAGATATTCTTGCATGCTTGTTGGACTGGAAAAGTTTTACAATTTCTTTAACATTATGACTCTGTTTACATAGTATTAAGGAGCCCTGGTGGCAGAGTGGTTAAATACTTGGCCGCTAACCAAAAGGTTGGCAATTTGAACCCACCAGCTACTCAGAGAGAAAGATGTGGCAGTCTGCTGCTGTAAAGATTTACAGCCTTGGAAACCCTATGGGGCAGTTCTACTCTGTCCTATAGGGTTGCTATGGGTCTGAATCAACTCAACAGCAATGGGTTACACAGTATTGAATTATGTTGGGAAGAAAATCATTTCTAAAACTGCTATTTCACTCTTTCTCTTGTTCTCTGTCTCTCCCTATATCTATATATATATACATATGCATATAAACCTCAAAAACCAAACGCAATGCCATTCAGTTGATTCCAGCTCATAGCAACCTCATAGGGTTTCCAAGACTGTAAATCTCTGTGGAAGCAGACTGCCACATCTTTCTCCCATATATATGTATACGTGTATGTGTGTGTTTATTTATAAATACACATGTATGTGTGTGTATATACATCTTTTCTCAACAAATAACGCACCCACACATAGAATGCACGGCATAGCTCGCTTACAAAAATAGTGAGGGGTATTGTGCCACTGGCAAAAAACGTATAACACATGCGTTATTTGAGGAAAAATATGATATATATATATATATATATATATATCAAGGAGATACACATATCAAAAAAGAGAGAGTCACTCCCTGGGTGGCCCAAATGGTTATATGCTCAACTTCTAGCTGAAAAGTTGGCAGTCTGAACCCACCCAGAGGCACCTTGGAATACAAGCCTGGTGATCTGCTTCTGAAAAGTCACAGCCTTCAAAACCCTATGGAGCAGTTCTACTCTGCACATATGGAGTCGCCATGCATTGTAATAGATTCGGCAGCAACTAACAACAACAAGAAATATATATCTTAATACAGTTCCTTGAACTTACTAGCACACAGTGATTATTTACTGAATTAATACAATTATGTGACAGTGTGTGTACTGTATTTTTATGCAAATAACGTGCACCTTCTACATTTGTCAACCATTCTCTCCCCCTGCGAGGCATTTTCAGAAGTGCCGCTATGCCAATTTTTTTTACATGTTGCTGTAAAAAAAATTAGCATAAACTATCTCAGGGGGGAGATATTTTCAGTGGTTGACAAACAAATGTAGAAGGCACATGTTATTTGCATAAAAATACAGTATGTATGCATAGATAATTTAGTATGTTTAATTACTAAATTGAAAATATTTTGTCTTTTTTAAAAAAATTGAGAAAAAAGATAATATAATAGGTATATATTTCATTTCTGTATATGTGTTTAAATATATATTTTCTGTACAAGTATACAATTACATACACAATTACGCACTCATTACAATTACTTTTTATTTTCTGGGGGTTACAGAATTTCCATAACGCTCTTCTGATTGACTTGCTGATTTAAACCGAAAAAAAATGAGTTTAGAAAGGAAAGGCCTTGAAAAATAATCATTTTATATTTTTAGAATCAGCATCAACTTCTCTGTATTTTTAAAAGTAAAACTGAGCACCAAGTTACATTTGATTCTTACAAATTGTCTTAGATATAACAACTTTTTTCAATGATCCTCTCAAACCCTGTTCAAATTCCGTATTCAAATTTTTACATTTTTTATTCTAAACTTAATTAAAAAAAGAGTGGAACAAAATTGTACCCTATACAGCAAGAAGTCTTGAGTATGGAAAAGAAAGCATGACACTGGAGTCCAAATCTGTTCTTTGAGTTATAGCAGATAATACATTATTTAAGATATACATAATTTACCGAAATAGTATCTATCCTCATAAGATTGTTGCAAGAACTAAATACAATCATAAATGTAAAATATTTATCAAACCACTGACACAAAACAAGCACCCAAGGACAGTAGCTATGATATCACTATCATTACTAAACCTGTTATTTGGAAAATACGTGTACAAATTATTTTGGAAAATGTTCTGAAAATCTCTAACTTGGAGAACGTATTTTCTAACATCACTTCAAATTTCACAGGGAGTTGCCAACTGGGTAACATAGAAGATTTTAACTTGTTACCGATCAAAGAATCTTAATCAAGCTCAAAGCACATATTTCTGTGGTAGACTGAAAATGTCCACAAATTCTTTGTAGCTCTTCCCATCAAGAAGTAGAATCTATTTTCCACCCCTTGAATCTGGGCTGGCCTGGTATATTACTTTGATCATGAAAATGCAGCAGGCATTACAATACTAAGCCTCAAGGGACCTTACCAATTCTGCTCTTCTTGCTACTTCTGCTCTCACTTCTCATTCATTAGAACTCTGCATCATGTGAGTAAACCCAAGCTAGCCTGCTGGAGGAAAAGAGGCTACGTGGAGGAGAACCAAGGAGCTTCATCTGACAGCCTGTCACCTTGGCCAACAGCTTGAAAACCACCAGCCATAGGAATGAGGTGGTCCTAAATTATCCAGCCTCCTGCCTTCCTCTGCCAGCTAACTGTAGATGTATAAGGGTCACTAAGAGCCCTGGTGGTGGAGTGGTTAAGTAATATGGCTGCTAACCAAAAGGTTGGCAGTTCAAATCCACCAGCTATTCCTTAGAAACCCTATGGGGCAGTTCTACTCTATCCTCTAGGGTCACTGTGGGTTGGAATTGACTTGATGGCAATGGGTTTTTTTGTTTGTTTGTTTAAGAGTTGTTATGAGTCAGAATTGACTCCACAGCAGTGGGTATTGTTTTCTGGTTTAAGAGAGACTAGCAGAGAACAGCTAAACTGACCTAAACTGGAAAATGACCTAGGCAATCCAAGTAATTATGAGCTATATAAAATGGTTGTTTTAAGTGCCTACATTTTGGGATGGATCGTTAAATAGCAAAAGTCACTAGATACAAGTGCTTCAGCACACGAAAAACTCAATATTTAACCCTTCTTCTAGGTCTGTTTTTCCCTTTGAAAACTTTGAGTTCTCTTATAGATAGCTTCCTTAAATGCACGCCAGGAATCTTACACTGAATTGATCAGAGGATTACTGCTAGGTTTGAGTCCACTGTTGCAGCCACTAGGTAACTCCATCTCGTTGAGGGTCGTCCTCTTTCTCGTTGGCCCTCTACTTTACCAAGCATGATGTACTAAGCATAAGATTCTGTACTAAGTGTATTATCTTGCTAAATATAACATACCCTTTGCGGTGAACCATTTTTGTCATCCTCATTTTAGAGATGAGAAAACTAAGGTGCACAGTTGAAGAAACTTGTCTAAGATCCTCCAACTAAAAGTGTAAGAGACTGGATTCTAACCCAGTTAGCTCTCTTTAGTTTCCAACATAACTCCAGACTTATAAATCTGTACTTGTTACATACTGTTTTCTGCTACTTAGGGGACACTTCCTTTTGTTCAGGTCCTTCTCCATCATATCTGATTAACTCCTACTTGTGCTTCAAGCCTGTGTAGGATTTACAGCTTTTGGTGATTCCTCTTCCTCTGTCCCAGGTCCCAAGGATTGGGTTACCAGTTTTGTATAACCATAACAATCTCAACATATTCCCCTGGGTAGACTGATTCAGATCTGCAGCCACGGAATTTATCCTCACTCTTAACCCAACTGTCTAATGATTTGCTGACAGGTGCTTCTCTCCTCCTAGACTCAGTGCCTCCAGAGGGCAGAAACTAGATTTGATTTATCTTTGCATCTGCGGATTTAACCCAGGCCCTGTTGTTATTGCTGTCAGGTGCCACTGAGTTGATTTTCAACTCATACTAACCCCATGGGACCGAGCAGAACTGCCCCACAAGGTTTCCTAGGCTGTAATCTTTACAGGAGCAGATTACTAGGTCTTTCTTTCATGGAGCCACTGGGTGGGTCTGAACAGTTAAACTTTTGGTTAGCACCCAAGCACTTAACCATTGTGCCACGAGGGCTCCTGACAGAGGCTCTACCTCATAATAAACATGCTTTCCACAAATAAATTAATGGAGGGATGGATGCTAATCCTTGCCAACAACAACAACAAAAATTTTTAGAAACATTCTATCCATAGGTCACCTTGACAACCCTAAAATTCAATCAGAAAGTCATATTCTTATCTTACAGGATAGGGATTTTTATCTGAGCTTTATGGTATCAAAAATACAAAGTCCCCACCATGAAATATAATTCACAAAGTTTTCAACATGAATTGAAGTCCTCAACTTTTTTTTTTTTTTGGCATCATAGAAACAACAGATAAAAAATGCATTTAAAACTCACTATTTTCAATCCTTTCTAAATGGAGTCCTAGTCTATGAATCTATCAAGATCATATACAGGGCATTCAGTGAATATACTAATACTACATTTTAGCTTATAACTGACTTTAATTCGACCTTTAATTCAAGTCAAAGACTGCCTTCAATTTTCAGTTAGACCAATCTTAGATCATGAAACCAACTTAAAACCAAAAAAAAACCCGTTGCCGTTAAGTCGATTCCAACTCACCGCAACCCTATAGGACACAGTAGTACTGCCCCATAGGGTACCCAAACAGCGACTGGTAGATTTGAACTGCTGACCTTTTGGTTAAGAGCTGAGCAGAGTCATCCCCAAGCCCTGAGGGCCTGCCTGAAGGTCAATCCTGAATAATCATGACGAATTTGCATTTCCTTGTCTGCTCTCTGTAAAAGCCCACCTCACCAAGCTGCCTGCAAGCACTCTTGGAGGCAGTAGCCCAGTTGCCCCTTTCCTTGTACAACGAAATAAAAGCATCTTTCTGATCTGCCACCTTGACCTCTTGTTTATTGGCTCTAACGAGTCACGTCGAGCAAAACCTGGGGTTTTTACCTGGCAACACAAGTACAAGTAGTCTTTGACTGGGGGAGTTAATTCAATGCTTACTCTTTGGCATTCAGACCATTGTTTTGTAGATTACCTCAGTAAATTGTTAAAGTTATTTACTCTCAATTATCCAACTTTCTCCTTGGTTACCTGCTTTCCATCTGAGCCTTGTTGTTGTTGTTGGCAACCCCATGTATAACGTATCATATACTCATACAATTTCAGCTAACTTAAATAATGTTGTCGTTAGCTACTGCCGATTGCTTCCTGACTCACGGTGATACCATACACAATTGAGCAAAATGCTATCTGGTACTGGCCGTCCCTATGATTTGTTGTGGATTGAACTGTTGTGATCCATTGGGTTTTCACTGGCTGGTTATAAGAATTAGATCACCAGGTTTTTCTTCCTAGTCAGTCCTTGGAAGCTTTGCTGAAACTTGCTGAGCCTTATAGCAACACACAAGCCTCCGCGGACAGATGGCGGTGGCTGCACACGAGGTGTATTGGCCAGGAATGGAACTCGGGTCTCCTGCATGGAAGACAAGCATTCTACCACTGAACCATAATTGCCCCATTAACTTAAATATTAGTCAAGGTAAATAGGATGACAAATCAGTATTAAAAGCATTACATAATTCATTTTTAAAACAAATTAATTACAAGATATTTCACCCTTTGGAATACTGTATTCTTTAGCGTGGATAACTTGGGGTTGATTTTACAATATCTGCATGGTGCATATGAATACAGCACCTCCTGAAAAGTAAAATTTGATAGAGAAGATCAGTGATTACAAATAAATACTTATATACAAAGTCACCAGAAACCAGTGCATAAAGTATTAAACATTCCAGAAGATAGTAATGAGTAAGGATGGGATGGGAAGAAGTAGGTTGAATAGTAGTTATGAAGGAAATAAATGTTGGGCAAATCCGAGAGGAAAAGCAGACAGAATTTTCGCTGAGAAAACTGTTTAAGAGTTTTGTAAATTTTCACCCTAACATGTTTGTAATTTACTGCCTTTAGGCACGTTTGCAGTTTGCCGAAACCGTCATCTTTAATGTAAAGAAAAAAGGCATATGGTCCTGGTGGGGAGCTTTACATTTTCAAGAGGCTTATTCAGCTCATATTTTATAGCCTTTTAAAGGAGGCCTTTACGTACAATGTTTTACTTTTTAAAGAAATTTACAGTTTTATTTTATATGTGATCAGAAGAATAGCTGTAAAATTCATTTCACAGTTTGAGTTACTAACAAAAGCCAGTATTAGAACAAGTTCCCTGGAGTGTGAAATCGGTGTTTTTGTTTTTTACTTGTTTTCCTTATTAAAGCTACACAAGTACTTTTATTAAGGGCTACTTCTAAGCCGTGTCATGTCCTGAACAGTGATGAAAAGTGAAACAAAAGGAACTTTTGTTAGGAAAATCGCTCCCAACGGGCAACCCCAAGGACGTTTTCCCGTATTTCTGCCTTAGCACATGACTCCTATTGTGGAAGAAGCACGTGTTATCCACGGGAGGCGCAAGGCACGGTGGAGTGTGCGCAGTTTCTCAATCTGCCCCAGACCTCAGTATCCCAGCACCGTGTCAGTTCACACCCAGAATATTATTTATTCAGAACGGCACCTGCGGTTCTAATGGCTCACCCGCTGGTTGTATAATTCTACGCTAAATTCTACCCCTTCGGCGATGTCAGGTTGATTCATTCTCCTCCAGGAAGGAATGCTTCTGTTTACCAGGATGCCTCCTTGTCTTCTCTGCTGCCACCAAGACTGAGATGGTGGCGGCTCAGGTTTCACACCATACAAGGGACTATCTTAGCTCTCGTGTGCGTGTCTGTGTGCCAATGTGTGTGTTGTTACTACGAAAACAAGCCCCTTAAGACAAAGGTCCGCCTTTCCGGGTCTGAAGAGTCAGAGACCCCCGCCCCTGTCTCCCCCGACCAGGGGCCAGAAAACCAGCCCCTTCTCTCCCTCCAGAGCCAAAGAGCTTTACCTGCGCCTTGAGTCCCCCAGAGACCCGCTCGTAGGAGACGCTTCTGCTCCACCTCCACAGACTGGAAAACATGGCCCGCGAGGGCGCCCTTCGTCCGGAGGCGGAGAGAGTCGCCGCTGCTGTCGCCTCCCGTGGCCCCGGAAGGGGACTGTCAACCCAGCGCCTGGAAGGAAGATGTGCGCTCAGCCCTGCTCGCAGCCCGCCGTCCTCTGCGAGCGCGCCTAGGGCAGGAGCGGAGAGGGAGGAGGCGGCCGAGTGGTAAGGTGGAGTGGAGAATCAGAGGCGCGGTTTGCAGGAAGTTTACTTTTGACTAATAGTTCTCAACTCGTCAGTTTCCGGGGTTAATCTGTGACAGAATCTGTATCCCCTCGGTGACAAGCACAGAACTCATTCCCTGTCTTGGGATGACATTTATATGTTTGTAAACAGTGTTTTCTAACCCGTTGTTATTGTTGCTGTTTTTGTTGTGGTGGTGTGCCTTGGAGTGGATTCCGAACTTTTAGTGACCCTGTAGGGTCGCTATGACTCGGAATTGACTCGAGGGCAATGGATTTGGTTTTTTTCGTTTAGGACAGAGGGCTTCTAAGGCTGTAATCTTTAAGGAAGAGGACTGTCACGTCTTTTCTCCTGAGCTGCTGATGGGTTGAACCACCAACCTTAGGGTTAGCAGCCAAGCACTTGACCACTGAGCCACCAGGGCTCCTTTTTCTGACTCCTACAGAAAATTAATGACAAATTTGAGGATTTTAAAGAGGGAATTTTATTGCAATGGCTTTAAACTTTAAAATAAAATGATTCCCTTAGTATTTGAAGACCATAACGATTCATTGAATCTGAAATTTACTCTTCAAATTAATTATAAAACAATATAATGAATAAATAACTATATAGTAATTTAAAAAAAACCCTGCCGCATGGAGTTTCCAAGGCTGTAAACACAAGCAGACTGCCACATCTTTCCTCGCGGCTGTTGGGTTGGAACAGCCTACCTTATGGTTAGCAGGCAGGTGCTTTTACCACTGTGTCACCAGGGTGCCTCATAGTAATTAGCACTAAAAATAAACAAACCAAGAAGGTTGCTGTTGAGTAGATTCCGACTCACAGCGACCCTGTAGTACAGAGTAGAACTCTCCCATAGGGTTTCCGAGGAGCGGCTGGTGGATTCAAACTGCTGACCTTTTGGTTAGCGGTGGAGCTCTTAAACACTGTGCCACCAGGGCTCTGTAATTAGGACTAGCAAAGAACTGAATGCAACACTTGACGTATAAAGAGGAATATGGAAATTTAGAGAGTTTGTTTTTAAAAAAATATTGAGACTGCGTGCTGTTGATAAAGAAGCACAGGTATATCCAAGTTACTATGATGCAGATCAGGTGATGCATGTGAGAAATGGTTTTATTTCTTGTGGGATGCAGATTTCTGGGCTCCATGAAGTTGGGGTGACCCACCCAGGCCATTGCCCTGAGATGTTCTTTTGAATCTTGAGCCTTGAGGAAACTTTTCCTAAAGTCACCTTTAAGTCACACAATAGTCTGGCAAGTAGCTTACTAAGACTGTTTCGCCTTAGGCATTGGGGTCTTTTGAAGAATTACCTATATGAAGTAAGTTTTGGGAGCCCTGGTGGCAGGGTAGTTAAAAGCTCAGCTACTAACCAAAAGGTCAGCAGTTTGAATCCACCAGCTGCTCCTTGGAAACCCTATGGGACAGTTCTACTCTGTCCTGTAGGATTGCTATGAGTCAGTCAAAATTGACTCGATGGCAGTGGGTTTGGTTTGGGTTTAGTTAGTCAGTTTCCAGAAACAGAAACTCCAAGGTCAGACTAGAAGCTGTGTTTTAGGGTAAATTGATACTATGCAAGCACACTTGTTCTGGCCCCATTTCCATGGCAATGATGATAAGATAGGGTATAAGAATCTTTGCAAGTTCTTTATCTTTGGAACATTTTTGACTCTCTAGTTGAAATGTTACCCTGGTTTACAAATCATGTATTAAATAAGCTTCAATCGATTTCTATTATTGGCTTAATATGATTTTTCTTTTAACACATGGTGTGTCTTGATTTTCTTAAAGCATTTGGTTTCAATTTATTTAGAACCCGAAGCAACATAAGAGGGAATAGTTTTTGGAATTCTGAATAATGGGGATAAGGATAAGGCAGTATAAACATCTTACAAGGATAGGTACCAAGGAACACGGAGCCTGCTTCTTGGGATTGGTGTTAGAAGCAGAAGGATAGGATTGAGATTTAGGACAGGAGAAGGCCAGATTCCTAGGGAAAGGAGCCCAAAGGTGACACCTAGGGAAATTTCGTCCTCACCGTTGCTGGCGAGTCAATGCCTACTCATAGCAACCCTATAGGACAGAGTAGAACTGCCCCATAGAGTTTCCAAGGAGCACCTGGTGGATTTGAACTGCGGACCTTTTGGTTAGCAGCGGTAGCACTTAACCATTACGCCACCAGAGTTTCCAGTCCCCACCGCAGAATGGGTCAAACTGAGGAAACAGAAAACTTTTACATGAGAATTAGACCAAAACATACATCATGGAATTAAAGTCCTGGAGAATGTTTACAACAATTTTTTTTTCTTTCTTTCTTTAGATCATTTTTGTCTGGCCCTATACCAAGATGAAGTTGTATATTTAATTTTAAAATAAGCATGTCTGTGAGGAATTGAGGTCGGGGCTCAGGATTTAGAAACTTTGTTTCACTTCCTTCCAGAACTTTCCACAAACCCAAGTGCCAATTTGGGGATATCTCATATTCATCAGTCTCAGTCTGAGGGGCCCTCTCCCTGTCTGCACTTTTAAACTACCCACTCTATGGATTCCACATGTAAAAGATAAGGTCTTTTTGAGAAGGAAGATGGCCCTTGCTCTTTCAGATACACCGCTAATCTGTTGCTGTCCATTTGGTTCCGACTCATAGCAATAGTTATAAAAAAAGATGGAACTTCGAATCTGTGCCATAGAGAAGGAAGTCTGAAAGAAAACGAGGCCTAAAATTAACTGAGGCTCTAAACCCATCATTAGTTTTCCTTTTTCCTCTAGGAATCAATCCCTTCAGGAGAGGATGTTTCTAGCAAATGGATTCAGAAAGATTTCTGCAGGTACTTATCTCCAGAAAGACACCCAACTCCTGGATTCGTGGGAGGAGTGAGGAATTCCCAAGTTAATTAAGTAGAAGAGGTCAGAGAGAGCTGTAGGTGTGTTGGGGAACTGGAGTGATGGAGTCCCCACCCAAAGGGAGATTCTGGGAGTCCCACAAAATAACATTTTAATGTCGTTTCTCCATTTTGAAGAAGGTACAAAGTAAGACTATGCTAATGAAGGTTTGCAAGAAAGAGATTACAGTTTGCATTGCTTCACTGTTTAGTTAAGGAAAATATTCAACTTTGCCTAGGGAATAGAAAATGTAAAATAAAATGACCTTGACATAAGCTGAACTTAACCACAAAATTAGACTTTTGATTCACAAAATTTTCAGACTAGCTGAATTGTGAAATACATACTTCTTTTTCCACCAAAAAGAAGATCACAGAGAGGTAGAATGAAAGCACAGACAGATTTAGTAATGAGTGGAGCACATTTTATGCCACAGTGTTAGATTGTTTGGCTTTTTGGAAAGGTTTATTATGAGGGTTCTTGTCCTTTCGGGGATTCTGTGAGGCTTTACAAGCTCTGTAGGCATTGTCGCTCACCCTTTCTTGTTGTGGAGAGTCCCATGGAACAGGGTGAGAATCCCTGGGGCTGATTAGAGGTAAGGCTGGAATGAAGCGTTGCCTATTTTCTACAGCTAGCTCAGCCAGCATACAGTTGTTACCATGGCAGAGAAGCGAGAATTCTTTCTTCAAGATGGTTAGTTACAGGTTATATCTTTGACGGGTGTGGGGGAGATGTTATTTTTGTTGTTCTTGTTTTTGATCTTGTTGTAAAAAGTTGAGTTAACAGTGCTATTCAGTTCATGGCCAACTATCATCATTTTGTGTAGAACCACGTTTTATTTATTTTATTTCTATTACCTCACCTCATTATTTTTCAATCCATTTTTCTCCACCGTAAGTCATTCATCTGCAGTATCTAATGTGTATCTTCTCAGTCCAACCTGTATATGTTTATTGAGATATTTTTGTCCTTGGACAATGTATGTTGCTGTTTTATGTGATTTAAAATTTTACACAAGTGGCATTTTACTATCAAGTCATTGCAATACGAGGTTGTTAGTGAGTCTAGGTAGTAAGGTATTTGCCCATGGTACATAACAAGATCTTCATTGAGGAAACTTCTGAAGAAGGACTTGTTAGTGGCTAGGTTTTGTTAGTGGCTAGGTCCACAGTTCGAATGCACCAGCTGCTCCTTGGAAACCCTATGGGGCAGTTCTGCTCTGTCCTCTAGGGTCGCTTTGAGTCAGAATCAACTTAATGGCAATGGGTTAAGTTTGGGTTTTAGTAGCTCTACTAGAATAGTAAATGAACTACTTCAAAGGAGAAATGTATTCTAGATTTCTTGAAGACTAGCTTGGGCAATAAAGTAAGAGGTATATATTGGAGTTACATTAATTTAATACATTACATGCATAAAAATCATTACATAAAATTGGTGGCATTTTTTAAAATACCAACTGAAAAAATGATCTCTCAGTATCCTTTTTCAACTGTATATAATTCAGCAAACCATTAAATTATTCACTAATAGCTGTAGAACAGTGCAGCTTAATGATGGTAATGCTGTTAAATTGTGATAAACACAAGTAACAATTGTCTTCAATTAATTGAACAGATGATATCCTAAGCAAAACGGAAATAGAAATAAGGAAACCAATATTCATTAAACGTAAATTTAAAACTAAATTTTAATTATCACAATTCACCATTGATTCATATTCTACCCCAAGGAAATAAATAGAAATGAAGTCAGATTGTTTATTGATCAACATTTCATTATAATAGAATAAAGAAAATTAAATTATAACAATAGAAAAACTTCTGAGTTAACTATATATATATTATATATGATTGTCATGATTAAAAATATTTATGATAAAAGTTAAAAACATTTGAAAATGCTGATGTTATAATTTTTATGTATGATACTTTTATATACAATACATCAACTATAATTATATATATATGTGTATATCAAGCCCTTGTGATGCAGTGGTT